GAGGGACCTGTGAGAAAGTATATCAACAGGATGCAATTGAACTCTCGGTGAAACCATATCATAAGACATTATCCTTTAATAGACTCTATTAAGCCATGACATGTTCCATTTACTTTAACTGTGTAATTCTGAACTCTAAGAGGGACAGAGACACTGAGACTGAAAGAAGGTGAGTTAAAGATGAGGGAGTGCTGGACAAACATTCGTTTACAAAAGTTTCATAAACCAAGACGACATAAAGCTGGTTCATAACTCATTATGTAGGCTCATTTCAATTGGCTGTTAAGCTCAGTGATAATGAACACACTTCGATAAAACAATAATTAGGAGAAAGCGAACTAGATTATATGTTTCCTGTTTCCGATTTACAAATTAATGAGGGCGAAAGCAAAGTGAAACACACAAAGCATGTAATAAGCCATCAATCCACACAAAATGTTGAAGGAATGTTAATGCACACAGGCCAGTCAGGATTATATCTGAAGAGAACAACCAGAAATGCAAAGTGAGGGAGGAGGAAAGAGATGAGAAACAGTGAAGGAGTAATGATGAGTGTGTGATTATCTGCAGATTTTCACTATGGCATTACTTCACAATCAAATTGTCTGCTCTCAACTGTGAAACAGACTGCAGACCGGGATGCAATTACTGCAATGCTCTTTATCTGTCCCAGAAAACGAATGTGCGAATGTGTGGATTTGTTGGTAACATTTTGAAACTATTAAAAATTATTTGTTTAGGCTAGGGACATTTAATCTATAAGAAGCCATGGACCCTCAATGAACGGAGACACAAAGCACAGTATTTAATACAGTACAATGTAAAAATCTTTGCGCATTAGTTGCTTTACAAAAACATTTGTTTTAAGACTAACACTTAGCTTTCGCTTTAGTGTGCCAGTAGGCATTCTTTTTACAAATACTGTAATAATCCAGTGAGCTTATTGTATGTGCAAAGAGTCTGACAACAGACGATAGGACCCACACAGAAATCTGGGTAACTCTTTATAATAACTTTCATTAATAAATCATTAATAAACATTATATGATGCTTAATGGATCATTAGTTAATATATATTCAAAGAGTTAGAAACGTGAGAGAATGTGCTTGTTAATGTTTGCTAATGAACTTATTAAACATTAGCTAATGTTTAACAAATCATTATTTCATGTAAGTTAAAATGCTTACAAATGTCATTACTTTCAGTTCCATATGATCAAGCACTTATTGAAAATCTACAAATGATTTTAAAAGATGTTATATAATGATATATATAATGATGCCTGCTTTCCTCTTTTACACCACCTACACACACGCAAGTCCGGTGAGAGAGAACAAAGCCAATAGTTGTGGAACTCCAGTAAGTAAGGCTGTCAAGGCTATTTTATTCACTTAAATATCGGATGAAGTGATTATTTTCTCTTTAATACAGATGATGTCAATGTATTTTTCGATGAGTCTGCTATGTTGGCAATAGGCTTGTTTGAGATGCACCTCTGCAGTAGGCGGCTGCAGTGAGGGGAGGAGTGAAATAAGCTCAGGCAACACGGACAGTTCTTGACAGAGCGCAATATCACGGTTGTCTGAACCAATGAGCATTAAGCTGTGTCGTCAGTCAGTCGTTTCCCACCATGCTTTTGATCAGCGCAGTCGGTGAAGAGCAACTGCACTCGACTGCGCAATCCGACACAGCCGCCTCGCCGTCGCGAGAGTTTTTTGGCACATGTCAGCGTGACATCAGAGCAAGTCGGACGTAACTCGGACACTTTTCTAACCGGAATGCATTTGGCACATGTCAGCATGACATCAGAGCAAGTCGGATGTAACTCGGACACTTTTCTAACTGGCATGCATCTCGCGGTGATCACCGGTAATCGGTTCTGCGCAGATTTTGCTCATCTCAAACAAGCCTAATAATAACATTACCTGCTTGAGGGAAAGGGTTGCCAGGTTTTCAGGTTTTGCTACTCAAAACTAACCCAAACTATCCGCATTTCGAGGGGGTCCCCCGGTAAAAATCGCATTCCGTGGGCTAAAATACACGTTATTGGGGTCGCTTCAATCTGCAGACATGAAAAACAACCCGCGGCAACAGTGATAAAATAGCGCAATTCCACAGGAAAACCGCGGACTTGGCAACACTGTGACGGATAGTAATGTCTACAACAGACACGAACGCTGTCTCGGCGCGACCACAACAACTTTAAGTTGTCTAATTTGGCACGGTCTCCCTGCTGGACTAATAGTAGTAAGCCATTCCTCTGTGTATACATATCCTTACAAGTACAATTTTAGCTGTATTATTTGTGTCCACTTCAAAAATTGCTCTTGAGAAATGTTTATGTTTATTGTCTCCCCCCAACTGTTAGATGAAATGTACGCCCCTGGGTAGGTTTAAGGGTTGGTTAAAGGGTCAACAGTGTACAGGGGTCAAGTTGATTACTATAAAGGAACATGGTTCAGACTGCTTATAATATATTGTTTTGATAAATGAACGTATTTTCTTTTAAACATTTGTTTTCTCCTGTTTATTTATGATTCAAGGAATATCCTGTTTAATGACATACTGAAGAGTAGTATAATAATGTGAATGTTGAGGCAATAAAATTGCAATCTGTTATGTCTTTAGCAAGCATTTAGCTAAACTTAACCAGCCACCCTTTACACAAACCTTGTTACATTAGCTAAACGTTCAGTGCCCATAAATATACTAAATGATTAGTAACTGTTAATAAACATTTAAACATGATGAATAGTTTCAACTTTAGATTGGTTACTGCAAAAACATGAACAAATTATTAATAAATGTCTAGTAAAGAGGTGTGAATCGAGTAAATTCAGGTTTTTCATGACACTTTTTGCCATTGAGATGACTGCTCATAAAGGTATTAATGATTAGCAAACATTTGCAAATGATGAATAATTTCCACTTTAGATTGGGTAATGTTTAGTAAGTTCATTAGTAAACATTAACAAGAACATTATCTTAAATTTCTAGCTATGTGAATATATATTAACTAATGATCTGTTAAGCATTACATAATGTTTGTTAATGATTTTTAAATTAAAGTTATTATAAGGTGTTACCGAAATCTGATCTCACCGTCATCCAGTTAGTCTGGGATTACATGAAGAAACAGAACCAACTGAGACTTCAGCCTAAATCCATATAATAAATGTGGCAACTTCTTCTAGATGCTTGGATTTATTTTAGTTAGAAAAAAAAAAAATAATTTTTGTGATGCAAAGCTGAATTTTCAGTATCATTACTGCAGTCTTCAGTTCACATGATCCTTCTGCCCAAGAAACATTTGTTATCAGTATTAATTTTGAAAATAATTTTTGCTCCTTAATATTTTTGTGTAAACTGTGATACACTACCACTACCAAGTAAGATTTTTCTGTTTCTTTTTCTTTTTCTTTCCTTTATTTAGCAATGACACATTCAGTGGATCAAATTGACAGTAAAGGCATTTATAATGTTACAAAAGATTTCTGTCTGTTTTATGAAAATGATGTTCATTGAACTTTCTACTCATCAGAGAATTCTGAAAATAAATTATCACAATTTCCACAAAAGAATGTAAGTCGCAAAAACTCCTATCAACATTGATACTTGTCATTATGAGTGCTGATAGGAGTTTTTGCAACTTACATTACATTACTAATAACTGAGCACCAAAATAACAATTGAGTATATTAAATCTTAAGGATTTAAAAAAAAAAAAAAAAAACTTCCAAACTTTTGACTGATAGAACATATTATTATGAAAGCATCCTCAAGTGCCTAAAACTTTTAACTGTACTGTACATTGCAACTAGGTGGTAAAATTGATCTAAAAATAATTGTTCCCACTGTCACACTAAAGCAAAAGCTATAAGTAACCATTTAAAAACAAATGTTTTTGAGAAGCATTTAATATGCTTAAGACTTCCGCATACATTATAATGTGGGTGGAAGAATTAAACATTTCACTGAACTTCAGTTTCTTAGCTTTAGCTTTGGATGAAGTCAAACTAATACATGTTTTATATTTATACATTGTGTATATATATATATATATATATATATATATATATATACATTGTGTCTGATCAAACAATCACTGGCAGACCCCTGACCCTCCAATGGGTGGTTATAATATCTGCAGAAAGTTTATACACTGCTGCTTTTTAACAGCTATAAAAGGAATATATATTTTTTTTTACCCATAAATGGTGTAGTTACAGCATTGACCAGCAGGGGCTACGTGGACAATGCTAACTAGCCAAACCTTGACCTCTTAATGGTTCAAATCCTGCTCAATTTTTGCCATTAAGATAAGAAACGGAACTAAAAAGGGTCAACACTCTCATTGAAAGCTGAAATTGTAGTATAAGATGTCACTATCCCTCCATTAACCCAATCATTTCCCCAATTTTTCTAACGATGAAAGCAGATTTGATCCCGGTGCATTTGCATTATGCAAGTTCATAAGCGATTGGAAAGCACCCAGCAGTGCTCCATCAAACCAAACTGGGAGGTAAAAGCTTTTGGTTCCCCTCAGTAGCCTGCCTACGTGCGCTTAAAGTGACTCCATCCATCATGACACTACATCATTTCCTGTAGTGATAATGTCGGAGTTTGGGGGAGTGAGAAACATCGCAATGTGTTAGTGACCTATTGGACATCCAATCAGATATCGACTAATGCAGACGGAAGAGATTAGATCAATCTGATTGGCTGATCCACCAGTGATGGATTGGGCATGTCAGAGAGGTCGCGTCTTCTTTCTCATAACAGAGTGTGAATGGGACAGTTTGTCACTGAATATTGAGGATATAAAGCTTCTATGGACAATTATGAAGTGGGCATTCATTAAGTTCATGTTTTATGACTTTGCTCTATTCTTCTGTGTCTATCCATTCTCTAGCTCTTTACCCCTCCCCCTCTCCCTCTCCCCCTCTGTGTAAATCACACATGGAATGATACTGTTATACATTAAGAAATCATGTCTTACTTCAGGTCTTGGAATGGTTCAGCTCGAACATGTGGCGTTTCCACTGAATGACTAAACACAACTCCCTCATTGCCTAGAGAGATAAAGAGAAAAACAGAGAGTGGCAAGTCATATAGTTGAACTAGAACTGTACAACATAAATAAATAAATAATTGAAAAACACATAAACCCACAACAAATGTCACAAAGTGTGAATATACATTGCCATACAACTTTGTGAACAAATGAACATTTGTGAACAACCATTCAGTTACCACACTTTTAAAATGACAGAAGAACTTTATGTTGTAAAATACAGCTCAGTATATTATTATTATTATTATTTTATTTTTCATGGAATTAATTATTTTATTAAACAAGGATGCATTAAATTGATCAAAGGTGACAGTGAAGACATATATACGGTTTATTTCAAATAAATACTGTTCTTTAAAACTTTTTTATTTATTAAAGAATCCTGAAAAAAGTGTCACCTTCCAAAAAAAAAAAAAAAAAACACATTGATTAAAAAAAAAAAACAATTGGAATAAATTAAATAAAAAAGCACAAACGATTTTAACTGTGATAATAATAAGAAATGTTTCTTGAGCACCAAATCAGCATATTATAATTATTAATAAAGGATCATGTGACACTGAAGACTGGAGTATTGGCTGAAAAGTCGACTTTGCCATTAATGGAATAAATTACATTTTAACATTTATTAAAGGGGTCATATGATGTTGCTAAAAATAACATTATTTTGTGTATTTGGTGTAATGAAATGTGTTTATGCGGTTTAAGGTTAAAAAAACACATTATTTTCCACATACTGTACATTATGGTTTCTCCTCTATGCCCCGCCTTTCTGAAACGCGTCGATTTTTACAAAGCTCATCAGTCTGAAAAGCAAGGTGTGTACCAAACAAAACCAGTAAAACCCATTATAAACGAGGCATTTGTTGCATACAGTGGGGACATAATTACGGATTATAATGATTTATACTGTCTTTTTACGCGTTGCGTTGC